CCGGCGTGCTCCGTCCCGGCTTTGTAGGGATGCGAGGTCAATGGTCTAACGACTACGGCATGCACGACTATGAGTACAACCCCCCCGTAAGGGCCCAAACGAGCTGTACTTGATCACCCGGGCTACATCAGATACCACACCCCCCACAGGATAACACACCCGGCGATAATATTTTTGAAGACCAAAATGTTATCACCGGGGTGTGTTATCTTGTGTCGTCTACGGTAATTGAAGAAGGCGTGTGAACCCGCGCAATCCATCGTTTGCCGATCAAAAACATCAAGCAAGCATGTAGCCTCGCGCAGTTCACCCTTCATATTTTTATATGTATGTTCAAAAGTTGTGTGCTTGAGCGTCATGTGCCTAGCTGATACCGGCAGAAGGAACCTTCACTTTTTCTCCCTAGAGAGGGTATTCTCTCGTACCCACGTCTCCTTCCCCTGCCATGTGTTCACGCGGAACGCGTCCAACAAAGCTGCCCACCCCCCCCCACACCCCTTATCCATCGTATTCTCAAAACACCGCGTTCGTTCGCGCAGGAAATCGTGCTGCTAGTGGAGATGATGGCCAGCGGTAACGAGAACCTACCGTGCTTTCAGGGTCCCGGGGGCGGGGCGGCGGCGGCGGCGGACCTCGCGGCGAGGTTCCAGCCGGAGCTGAACGACCCGGCTTGTGAGGACTTCGTGCACAAGCTGGTGCAGCAGTCTGCCGGGAGCTGGACAACGGCCTGGTACGACAAGTACCAGAGGTTTTGGTCCGGAATTTACTGATGAGTGATGAGAGCGAAGACAAAAGCTTTATGGTTTTTGTTGTTGTTGTTGTTGTTGTTGTTGTATTCTTCACTTCTTCACGTCAAAACCGTTCCAGTCTCCACTCAGACCGTACTAGTCCAACTGACGCGGAATGGTATGGGTTAGGGGTACAAGTACCAGAGGTTTTGGTCCGGGATTTACTGATTGATGAGAAGAGCGCGATGTTATGGATTAGTCGTAGAATGGGACGTGAGGGAGGCGGGAGGGGTTGTCTCGTATGCTTTGGTGGTAAGCATCAACCGCGCTCAACGGGCAACCGCCCAAAACAGCCTTAATGAAGTTGGCGGGACATGGGTCTCCGCGGTTTTCCCCGTCAAGTGTCGCCTTGTTTCAAAAAAGACGCCGCCGTGCTGTGAGTCGTACCCTTTATCGGTGTGCACGTTTATCGGGGGGGGTGTGTTGTGCGTGCCGTTCCGAGCAATTTTAGAGTTGACCGAGCGCTGCTGTTTGCGGGCGAAACGGTTCTTCTTCCGGCGGTGGCGACGTTTAGCCCCTGCCACGTCGGGGTTGGTCAGGACGACCGTGGCTTGGCTCAAGCCGCCGAAGGGATCTGGAGGGTAAAACGTTACCCCTTTCTCTACCTTGCAGTTCCGTGCTGCTGTTTGCTGTCGTTTTTTCTTGGCGGCGGTGTAATGAGACAGATACGAGAGGTGTCTCACTTGTGTTTCGGTTGATATCACTTCGGGACCAAAGAGAAGGAAAACTTGTTTCGGTTATAACCACTTCGGGATAGAAGAGACGGAAAAACGGTCCGTCTCCCTTTTCGATTTTGAAAGAAAAATTCACGCGTCCCCTAAGATGCGTTCCGTGAAAAACGGCACCGGCCGACCACGAGTGGAAACGAGTGTCGCGGGATGTCTCATTGACGTATGCATCATAGGGCTGTGACGCGGTGTTGTTTTCACAGGGAGGAATTTGGTAAGTTTTACGGCTGTCACACCTTGATGGCGTTGATCTAGGACACGGTTACCGACCGTGCTTCCTGGCCATGTTGTGATCCGGGCAAGACTCTCGCATCTAAGAGACCAGATGAGGAAAACAAAGCGAAGAAGGTCTGCGTGGCAGCTAAGCAGGCTGGCCTTGGTTTCCGAGAGGTTTTTGTTCGTCTGAAGGCTTGTTTTGCGCCACGTGCTGAACCTTCCTGTTTTTCGGCGGTGCGTGGGTCCGCCGCCGAGACGGTAGAAGAGGGTTCAAACTTCCCAGGTCATTGGACCTTGAACCCTGCCTGATGCTGAAACCTTCTGTCTTCCCCGTTTGGTTTCCCCACGGAGGAAAACAAGGATCGAGCTTCGGGCAGCATACGCGTCTCTTGAATTAGTTGTCGTGCGTCCTGCAACGCGCCTTGACATACACACATGCATGCCGTTGTTGGATGGAGTGAAACTCAACACTCATTTTCCTTGGGTTTGTTGTCAAACGTTCTGTAATGTGCCTGAATGTGCACACAAGCGATTTCGGTAGGGCAAGTTCAGCTCAACATTCACTTCCCTCAACGAAGATAACCTGACTGAAATCAACCATAAACTAGAGAAGTGCAACTCTTGAAAGACAAGTCCTGCACACATGCGTAAATTGTAGCAACACCCCAGAACACAACCACCATTGTTTTCATTTCCGAGAAAACTCTTGACGGCAAGACTTCAAAACACGGCAGAAAAAAATGAACATAAAATCGCTGCGTAAAAACGGCAGCAAGGGTTTCTGCTCTTTCTCTGCAGAGTACGCCTGACAAAGAGGAATCTATCGACACAGGGAAGACTATCTACCACGTGCAACACCCGTCATCTCGTGGTTTGATGGTCACTGTATTTACATCATTGTTCGGGTAAAGTCGCGACGGGAGCTTGCGTCTCCGAAGATAATTCACTACTGCCATCGTCGCCAACTCCATCCCGCGCGTTCCCTAAGCCAGAACAACAGCAGTGTCTCATCAGGCCTTGATATTACCAACACAACCGACAGCACAGCGACAACCAGAGGAAAAACAAGACCAGAACGTATGACTAGAACAGCATGACAGTTACCATAGTACACAAGGGAGTCAACACAGAACAGCAGGTGTGAGAAGGTTACTTGTCCTACCTCGCCAACCAGGTCGGCATTATTTCGTTGTTGCCGACCCCCCCGCGGGTTAGCTCATCACATCAAGCAGTGGTATATTCCAGCGCGACATATTCTTCGTTTTCCTACTGATCACCAGACACCTCAGCCCTCCTGGTTTGGCAAAACCAAGCACAGGTACTTGCTTTTGTCCGTGCTCGTCCATCGACTACCCCCTCATCCCATCCCAATCAGACTCTCGGCATCGCTGGAGGGGGGGGCCAACTCGTCTCCCGCCGGGTACGTTTTCTTGCCCTTGGGAAACTCCTTCGTCACGATATCCCTGAACAAGAGAAACGACACCATGAACAACGACGCAGGCAATGAACGAGCCGAAGAGAGGGAAAACTGGCTTAAGAAGGTTCTTTCGTTGCGGGGGTTCTGTGAATACACCATGCCCCAATGTTTTGAGGGAGGTGCGCCATCGACGCGTTGTGGCGCGTTCTGTGGCCACGCTGTAGGGGTCCTGTTGCAGCCCTATTGAACGGAACAATAGTCTCTTTCCCCGAGGACCGCGTGTCAGAACCACTTCGACGGGACTTGAACAACAACCGTATTGCCAGAGGTACCATCGTTTTCTGCCTGACTGGTGCATCGCCGGCACGCTGAAGAGAAAAAGACTCTACACACAGACTAGGCCATCATCGCAAACAGGGACGAGCTCTCTCGTACTCTGATTAGGGCCGGGTGCCCGAGGTAGGGCCGGCCACATCCCGAGCCACTTTTTCACGTGGTCCTTCGCAAGGATCACGTTTCGCGTGCAGGTTGTTGATGTCCATCCCCGCACCCCTACCTGCCAACCATGGTTGTGGCTGTTCTCGCTACATCAGACACAACATATCGGTCAAGAATCACCCGGGGGCCGGAAGAGGCTCGCCGCCTTCACGAAGCAACGTCGACTTTGTTTCGTGGCTTTTTGGGCGGGGGGAGGGGAGGGGACTGCCGGTCGCAGCGACAAACTCTTCAAAAGACCCTGGTAATTCAGTACCACAGGCGTCTCGAGCTCACCTTCCGCGGTCGACGTTGTAGTCGTCCATCTTGATCGTGGACCTGTACGTCTTGCTGGTTGTACTCGCGCCTCCCATCTTGTTCTTCGTGCCACGGGAGAGACGGCGAGATACACCCACATTTGGACCAGCCCCAAAAGAAGAGGACAAAGTCAGACGGACAAGGGTTGGAGTGTGTTGAACAAAAAAACTTTCACGTTCTAGCGCAAGTCTGGTACCCCGTGTGGTGCTTGCTATCCCTTGCATGGCACCTTGCAGAAACACGCTGCGGATACCCGACCGGTTTTGTCTAAGCCATGGTGTAAGCATCTTGTGCTGACGGCACCACAAATAACACCATGTTTAGGTCTTTTCGGGCGATGTAGTGCTGTCGTTACCATCTCCGCCGGCACCGCCGCCGCATCCGGCCAACCCAAACAACATCAACACCAGATTGTCCGCTGTTGGTTTCTCCACTCACTCTGGCCGCCTCCCGGCCCATCATCTTCGCGAAGAAGCCATGCGGCGTGTCGTGTACTTTTCTTTCTTCCCATTGTATCACGTCGAATGATTCCCTGAGCATGGCCCCCGCTCCGCCCACGCCTTTTCGTACGAATTTGATTAATAGTGCCACACGAGGAGGAAGGAAGGAAGAGAGAGACGGAGAGAGGGAGGGAATCAGCACAAGGGGCTAGTGCATGCGGCAACAACCATCAAAACCACGGCGCGGCATATGGGCGACAACAACCGACCCGCCGTATGTCGACTACATAGCGTGGCACTACTGTCCATGCTGCAACGAAAGCCACGCGTCGGCCGATAGAAGAGCGGAAATAATCATTCTACATCAGATTGCAAGATGTTCACTTGCCGCACGCACCACGTGCCCCCTATATATTGCGGCTTAGCCACAAGACATTTTCTCGTGGTCCCCCCCCAACTCTTCTACTGTTTCCGCTGTTGTTGTTGTTGTGGTTTTTGCGGGTGCTGTTATTGTAGTTGTTGTTGTTGTTGTTGTTGTTGTTGTTGTTGCTTTTGTTGTTGTTTCTACTGATAATGTTCTTGTGGTGGTTTTTGTTGTTGCCTTCATATTCCAACCGTTCTGTCCTTCCTTCCCGCGCCTTGCTAGACGAGGGGACAATGGCAACAACATCAACAACGAAAATCCGGAAAGGACCAGGTACGTACGTACACATATTGTAGCATAGCATCCACACGCCGGTATCTCCGAAAGAACGTCGTCCCGTCTTACCCTCGTCGGCGAGGAGCCCGTTCTCCTGAGCACGCTTGTCGAGTACGCGACTGCAGGGATCCCTGAGGTGTCCAACCTTGGCCTTGACCGCCCGCCGGTTGGGCTCGAGCGGATCGTACTCTGCCAAATACGTGTAAATGCAAACAAGAGGTACGCGTTGAGTGCCCATAGTAAGGTACGAAACTTTTGAGTAGGCATGCATGGAACAGCAGCGATGGCAAGGCTTGTTGGGGTGTGTCTGGAGCCACGGATTCGGGAACGGGTCGTACTCGGCCATACCCTTGTAGATGCAAAAACGTACGCATTGAGTATTCACGCGGAGGAACGACTCTCTGAAAGTAGGTATACGTGAAACGGCAGCGATGGCAAGGACAAAGAGGCTAATTTCGGTGAGTCTGGAGCTACGGATTCTGGAGCCGACCCCTGCTGGGTGGCGCAGGCCGCATACCTATTTCAAGATGAGCCTCTTTGGGAGCAAGTAAACTTTGGCGCCTTGGCGTTGCCGGAGGGTGGGAAAACAGCAGACCACGCGAAGGTTCTCAGTGCCAACCGAGAGCAAGCGTATTTCGCACGGCATGTCGGCTTCAATGATATCGAAATGCACACAGAATAGACCGGAAATGTGGGGGGTCCACGGATACCCGCTCTCGGTATCAGAACCTCACCATCAAACACACAAGAGTTAGGTAGTAAGCTGATAAGCATGGTTTCGGGTGGAGCTGGGCGAGAAAGAATCAACGTCTGTGTGTCTGCAGATGTGTGCAAGAGAGTATGAAGTATTGGCCAATAGCCTTCTGGTCCGCTTCTGCACCTGACTCGATGATGATATCGCGGAACACGGCCGCCTTGGTGTTGGTGGTCGTCAGGAACTTGTCCAGATCTCCCCTCCTGCGCTCGTTGATGTCTTTCGAAGACATTTTATCAAGGACCTTGTCGATTCGTCCCTGAAAACACATTTGATTTATTGCATCGTGCTTCCATCTTATGATATCATATGAGTGTGGCGAGGGTAGTCTAGTGCGTGGAGGCGAAAGGTTGAACCAGTCGGCTTCGTATCCTCTTCGCTGAAGTAATTGTCCTGCAGGAGACCAGCGAGCGTCCTACACACGACCGTTCCTCAAGTACTCCTCTTGGCACGTGCTCCTGCTCTTCATCTTCCAAACCAATTCAGTGCAATGCATGCTGCGCAGCAGGTACCGTCTTGTTTCGTCATCACTCCCCCAAGGCGGGTTGAACAACCGCATTTTTGCTGCTGCTGCTGCTGCTGCTGCTGCTGCTGCTGCTGCTGCTGCTGCTGCCGGTGGCAGCAGCTACCTGTCCTGATATCATGTACATCCCAAGCCCCCTGTGTGAAGAATTCCTCTTGCGTGACCCCAGCTGTTGCGTTCAACAGAAGTCGAAAGTTGTGTACTGGTGTGCCCAGAATAGATGGCACGAAACGACCAAAACATTATGCTTGCGAGTCTACATCTGTACCTGGATCGCCCCATGGACATTCGCGTCCCACTCTTGGTATTGCTTGAGAGTTTTGCCCCGCTGCGCTTCATCTGCGATGCCCAGAATGCGGTCCAACTCCTTCACGAATGTTCGGCCTTGCGCGATAAATATAGACAATTTGGCGGAGCGCACACTTGTGAACAATTACGGGGTACACAGTGGCGTTACTTTCACCACCCTGGGTAGGATGGCAGAACAATTCGTCCAATCGAATCCAGTTCGTCCAAAAGTAACGTACAAGGATCATCTTCGAAAAAATGCCGCCGTCTCCCTACCTGTCCTCTGGATTATGTCATTGTTGTTAACTTTATCACTATTCTACCGCGTGTGGATCATAGTCCGAGGGTATGCCAGCAGGTTCCTCGAATGAGAGAACCGAAGACAAAGAGCGGTTGACGCACACAGAGAGACAGATGCGCATTAGCACAGACACAGGCGGAATCATTGAAGCTTCTGCGGAGCACCCCCATTTCACGATACAGGGTCTGCATCCTTACCTGCCTCGATCTCTCCAGAGAGCCTCACGAACTCTCTCTCCTTGCTGGCTGCTGCCTCCAGCAACTTGTCTCTCACCAGTCTATCCTGCAACAGCTGCTGCTGCGTGAGCTGAAACAGGTACTGCTTCTCACGCCGCTTCTTTTTCGCCAACGCCCCTGCTTTGAGCATCGCTTCAGACCGGTCCTCCTGTGGTGGGCGGGATGGCCTGCTGCGCCAGACAAATTACGAACCACCAGTAGGATTGGTATCTCCCTTTGGATAGCGGGGGTTATACTGGGTCGCCCCGGTGGTCTAGTGGGTAGCCTCGCAGCTTGCTAAGGGCCAGGTCATGGGTTCGAGTCCCGACAGAGTGAGTTATTTCGCGCTAGTTAAATCCTGGTCTCGGTTGGAAGCGACGCGCTGCAAAGCTCGTTGTTAGTAAACTTGATTGACTTCATAAGTCGCGAGGAAAGGGATTGCTGTACCCTTCTCGCGATAAAAATACCTCAGGCAGGAACCGCTGGAGGGAGTCCAACACCCCCCTCCTGTGTGACCCCCGTTGGGTCGTCTAGCTGGTAGAAGTGGAGGATAGGGGCCAGAGGGGCAGACGACAGAGTCCAATGATGGGAGAGAAACAACAATTGAAAATATATATACCGAGTCCCCAACCCTCGCCGCTGTCGTGTGCGCCGTCCTTGTACGTACGCAGAACCTCACAACTGTCGAGCGTTCATGGCTGTCAAATTAGGTGTTTTGTTTGTGTGAGAGGAGTATGGGGGAAGTGAGAGGTAGATGGAATTATCTCGACCGTCATACGCCGTCAGCATCGCACCTAGACTTTGCAGATCGACCGAGAGACCTCGGAGAGGTTGAAGACGTCCTCCCGTCGTCCAGCAGAGACTTGAATAGACCATCGTTGTATACACGAACGCGGAACGCCGGCGGTCGATTTGACGGTTGCGCGTACGGTGAGCACGCGTTGGTGCCCCCAGAGCCTAGACCATGATGATTCGAGGCTCCCATTAGCACCAGTTGCTGCGACCGCTGTGCTGTTGGGGCAGGAAGCAAACTGGATAACTGCTGACTTGTACGATCCCTCCTCTTTCGGTGTCATTTCATTAAGCCCTCCAGCCGTCTACACGTACAAGGCAAAAATGTGTGATAACCTAGCCACGGGCCTCCTGTCTCTCTACCCCCCTCCTCTCTCTGTCTCCCTCTGCCTCTGTCTGGTACACACCCATCAAACACCCAACAAACACCCACGTCTAACGTACTCATCACATTCCGCCGAACGGGTGCCAGCCGCTTGTGACGCGAACCGGTCGATATTGTGCCGCACAAACCGGTCTGTGGCATGCACTTCCGCGTTTGCGTGGTGCTACTGCTGCAGGCGTTTGAAGTCTGGCGTCTGGCGTCTAGGGTGTACGCACGAACTCGACGAAGAGAAAGTAACGGGGCCCGTGCGTCTTTGCACTCCCTCGAAAAAACGTGTTCCGCCTACGATACAAGAAAATAGAGATCCAAAATATCTACAGCAGTACAGACAGCGGGTTTGTCTGGAGAGGTGAAGTAGCTGAGTGTTGAGCGCGAATGACACTGTTGTGGTGAAATGATCTGAACAACGGTGGAGATAGCGAGGGTGAATTATTATCGAAGGATCCGAGGAGGCATGTGTTGATTAGCCGGTGGAGGAGAAGATCTGCAGACGGGCTGTTGTCGGGGCAAAGATGGGAACGTTCCCAGCAGGGAGACGTGATGCTCCCGGATGGACGAGATGGAAATGAAACACGTTCATGTTGACCGGACGTAAAATTTGATCCGACGGCGGGTGCCAACAAGTTCGGGTGCTAGAATGGATGGACACGCGTGTGCTAGGGGGAAACACTGGGTTAAGAAGCAAGGCCCACGGAACAGGTGACCTCGCGACGCTTAACTTTAGCACGGACCCGTGTATTTGGTCATGCTATTTATTCCCAACGAACTCCAGTCACTTTTAATCCTCTCTCCCATGCCTACACCGGTGAAGCTGCGACCACTCAACATGCTGTCTCTCCCCCTCCCCCCTTCCTATTGATGCGATAAATGAGGGCTCACGAGTTCTGTCTCCCTCTGCGGCATAAACGCCGAGCTTTGCGTAGGGAGGGAAAACAAAGTGGAGCGTTCTCTTCCTCTCATGGAAAATGAGAAGCAACCCCCTGAAAAGCGACATGCGGCAACGCCCGTCCTCTCTAATGTAGACAGAACGATAAAACTTAATTACCCTATAGTCAAACAGTAAACAGGACGACTTGACTAATGACCCTTATCGTCAAACCGTAATACTGGAATCTTCCTCCGACAACAACATTTGACGCTCCTGCCCCTGCAGCACTCAACAACGCGCTGCACCGCAAACAAAAACAACGGCGTTGTTTCCGGATCAACTCACAGCCAAATGACAACTCGAAATACCTCGTCCTCCTCGACTTTTTACTCATTCAAGGTGCAAAATACCTGCTCTCCACTTCTATGCAGCGAGGCCCAACTACATACAGTCGGCATCACACAGACAACCAAATACAACACCAGACCCCGCCTACCTCGTTGCGATGGGCACAAAAACAACTTCAGCGGGATCAACATCGAAATCAAGTTGTTCTCTCCCCGGAGAGAGTGCTTCCCCGACCCCCCCCC